ACGTTTGAATAATCCCCGGTGCAGGATTCGAACCCGAGACCGTCATGCTTCCATTGACCAAACCAAGCCGCACCAATTCAGAAGAAACACGCCATCAATTGAGTTCACTGAATTCTCTCTATCACCACGCTGGTAGCTCCTCCCCCACCATTGCATATCGTAGCGCACCCAACAGTATAATCATTTTCACCGAGAATTCTGCTGAGAGTTCCCACCAGGCGAGCTCCCGAGGCTCCTATGGGATGCCCGAGAGCAACCGCTCCTCCATCTACATTAACTCTCGATGGGTCCAGCTCCAATAATCTCATATTAGCTATCGCCACCGAAGAGAATGCCTCGTTGATCTCCCACACATCCACGTCCCTGACAGATCCCTCACCACACAACAGAATAGAGGAGGACTGACCTCACTCAAACACAGTGATATTGCGAATATAGATCGTTCGTCAACCTCTACTTCCCAACGTTCCGATCAATCCCCCCCGAAGTGTCCACGACTCACTTCGTCGTCATCCCCGCTCTTTGCAGGGCCACCCGCGCTGCTCCGGCTGGTGACAAGGAATAGTCTATTGGGTCCTGCTCGAAATCTGCCCACGATATAATCCTGAACGGCATTCTCGTAATCGATCACCTGGGCGCGCGCTACTTTTACCGAGCCAATGGGGTCAAGCCTTGTTCTCGGGAAAACTCCTCACTGACAACAACCAGCGCCGCAGCGCCATCGTTCAGTTTGGATGCATTAGCGGCTGTGATGGTACCGTCCTTGATAAAGGCTGGTCTCACCGCCGCTACCCGTTCGATTTTCAAATTCGTGAACCTGAGGGAGTCCTGCTTCCCACAACGGCCATCAGAGGAAGACTCACTCCTCGTCACTGTAAAAAATTTTAGGTTCGCCGCCTTTGACGGTTGAAGGTACTTCGACTGGAAATGCCTAAAGCACATCAGAACACAGCTGCTACCACCATACTCTCGGGGTAGAGGGGAGTGCATCATTAACCCCAACTACCCTACCTCGTTCTTCATCTTCCCTCTACTCCAGGCTGCCGCTGCCCTTTGATAGGATTGGATGGCGTAATCATCCTGAGAGGATGGGGATATATAATATTCAACTCGGCGATGGGGGACCGCACTTGCTCCTCTCGAGTGATGCCGAACTCTTTGACGGTTTTCTCGGCACACTTGCCCATGTGAATGTCATTGTACACATCCCAAAGACCATCCCTCAGGACAAGATCCACTAGCTGACCATGGCCATATCTAATCAAAATAACGCCCGATTAGTTCAGCTGGATAGAATGTCTGCCTACGGAGCAGATGGTCGTAGGTTCGAATCCTGCATCGGGTACTTACTTATATCCTCCACTCCGAGCTTCTGTTAGTGCGTGAGGCGTATTACTCATAGACTCCATCCCTCCCGCGACGATCTGCCACCATTGCACACTCCTCCATAGATATCTAAACCCCTAAGACCTACCACGTCCGCCTCTCCAATAGCGATCGAAGCCGCAGCCATAGAGACGGCCTTCATGCCACTACTGCACACTTTATTCACACTCATCACATTAGTAGACGACGGCAGCTTAGCCGCTAAGGCAGCCTGACGCACTGGTGCCTACACAGATAATGGCTGCATCAGCGTGCTCGTTGCTGAACGTATCGCCGACTTTCCCAGTCCCGTACTACCTGTCCACATGCAGCTGACAATACATGCCCCATAATCACTTGATCCACCTCACCCACATCGACCTTAGCTTGAGCCAAGGCCCTTGTGATCGCCTAAGTCGAGTTGAGATACCCTCCGAGCTCTCTGCAGGGGTACTCACATGGGCTCCCAGCTGAGGTGCTTTGAAGGACGACAGTCTCCCCAAAAAGGAGCCAATCGGAGTTCGAGCATATCCCACAATAACCGCCGACCGAGGCAAGGACAGAGCACGAATGATGGTCATTAGATAACACGATTAACAACCCGCCTTCCCAAAACTCGCACAGGTTCGATCCCGGTAATTACCAACTCGGCACAACCAAGCAGTCCAAAGTCGATGACACGCATTCCAGATCTGCGAACACTCTTCACAGTTTGCAAAGAGGCTCGCAAATCTCCTCCCACAGAATTGGCGGTATCCCACTACGTGACAACGAAGCAGTAGTACTACTAGTATAATAAATATGATATCGATCGAGCAATGACAACTTAGCTTTCAAGACGAGAGACTCGACACTGATTTCGCCAACAACAATTGTATCAGTGCAACGACCGCTACTACAGGTTCATTGGCAGCATCATCTACATTGGATGCATACAAAATAATAGTAATAATTCATGACCATCGTGCACAGCCGGATGAATGAAAAGAACAACAACAATCTCAGAAATTATTGATAAGTATCTGAGGTCCAACCACAAAAGATACGCAAAGATACCACCTCAAAATCTCACTCATCAGAAGAAGAAGAGCCAAGCTCCTCATTGCACTGTTCCCTCAACCGTCGGTGTTCGCCCTTCTGGAGGGAATGGAGCGAAGGGGATCGGTAGAGCTTCCTCTTCCAACACCGATGCCTACCCAGACATGTCACTAAATCCCACAAAAGATGGCGTACATCAGTCCTAGTCCCTCCCCTCTCCGTCGAGCTCATCATCGGAGTCGACAGTTCCCTCTGCCGCGGAGAAGTAGTGAAGAATGACAAGCCCTTGTACTAGAATCAAAGGTATTCCCATCACATCACCAAGGCCGCATGCTCACCTTGATCGCGTAATACAGAGTCAGAGCACCAGTCGAGATCATGAACAAACCAGAGAGGACGCAAAAGAACGACCAGAACCTAAAGCGGCATTCATCAAAAGCATCGCCATCTATAGCAACCTACCCCGAGTTGACCTTCACTCCATCGTTCTCTCCCAACAACACCATCAACATCCTAGCCTCTCCCTCCTCCCCTTCACCCACCGACCGAACCGACTTGTACGTGTAGTTACCGCTACATAGCATCCCGATCACCTGATCGATTAGGGCCCATCGAGCGGAGCGAAGCTGTTGGATATTTATTACAATATAGAAGACTGCACGGCCAATGAACGACGTCATGAAAGGCAGAACAGCTCGTATGACTTTATGCGCTTTCGAGTCTCGGGGCCTGACAAGCGATAGGTCCCCGGATCGATCCCCGCAGCCGGCATTTTTCTCACCACAGTTCTGCAATCATACCGGCAACACCCAGGCCGCCGAACAATGCAAGGTCTGCCAAATTACGCAGCAACCTCCAGAACGAATACTGTGGACAAAATATGTACCTAAATCACAAAATGCCGCAGCCGGGGTTCGAACCCGAGACCTCCCCCTACGACAACGAATGCACCACCATCAACAGGCACGAGCCGCTTCCGCTTAGACGAATGATGTGCTCTATGCTGGCCATTACAACAAGCTGGCATGCAAAGGGTACCAACTATCCTCCCAAACACCAACAATAGATAACAAGAGAAACTGCAAACATCAATCACTCCACAGTGCATTCTTCTAACAACAAGCTCGCGTATGAGGACATTCGTAACGGGCCGAAAATTACTGCTAAAAACCTGGCAACATCTCATCACAAACACGATAGACTACAAATCCTGAAGCGCACGCGGAAGATTTTCTGCCAGGATTCTTCCGTATCGAATCCTTATACGTTTGCCCTTTACAAAGTAGCCAACAATGGAGCCCTAGATTCGGAACCTACAAGGCATCACGCAAATGAGTCGAGCATGAGACCGCCTGATGATCCTACCGCTGACACGATGCCGACAATCGACGCTAATACGAGGGCTAGTGAGGCCCATGGAAGTCTGCTACTGATGGAGAAGTACAAATACCTGAGTACGGAGTAAACATAGCATTATTCTTCCATCCCAGAGGTCCCAGGATCGATTCCCAGGTGCGACAACTCCAACGAGTCTCTGCGTATTACACCACAATGATCCCTCCAACAGCCGCCGTGCCTATCCACATTTGACACATTCGAGGCAGTGCGGTACGGAATAATAAAAAGCCCAATACGAGGACCGCGGCGAGCGAGCATACCTGCTGCAACCACTACGCAGCCCTCTGACAAAATCAACCCTACCACTATCCATGCAATGGGCATTCGGCCGACCGGTCGTTCCCGATCAAGAGCATAGTCGACGCATGCGTAGACACCAAGGGCTATGCTGAAGAGCATGTAAATGCTACATACCGCTATGAATAATACCTAGTAAGATCTAGTCGGACTTCAGACAGGAGCGGTATCACGTACGAAGGCCCTCCGGTTCCGTAGCCCAATGCAATTGTTCACCACCGCACAGTGGTGGTCGAAACCACGGATACAGTACCCGCACTCAGAACCTGGGGTGTTGAAGTTTAGCAACTTTGTGAATACAAAATGCTCACAATGACTCCACCCTTCGAGACGGTAGATTTTACACGTAGTACAGAAACGCACATCGTGACCAGTGGAAAAATCCCGAGCTGTGTCCAAGTCCAGTACAGTGTTCACGTATAAGGCGTAGCTGACGATTTGGTAAAAAGATGGTATGGAAGCGAACGCACACCTGCAATTATCATCAGAGCTCCGCCACCTATCATCTCGTATCTCGCGCCGGTACCTAGAATAGGCGCAAGATACGTTATCCGGAAAATCAGAGGCAAATGGAAATTGACAGGTGAGGATCTCAGCCGCCCGAACGCGGCTACTACATCGAATGAGATATGGCAAACCAACGAGTCTTCTTCCTACTCCTCATCGGGTCCTCGTCCCGTCTCAGTCAACACTTCTAAAGGCGGAACTACACCAGGGTCTGATAGTGCTGTAACCAGAAAGGTAAGAGTGGTGAGGATGAAGAGAATCTGGAAGGCTCGTGTGAGAGGGAGAATGGGAGGGGATTACCCACCAGATTGGCAACCACCAGGCCCGGCTCGGGGTCTCGAATATCATAGAAGAGGGATAGAAGGACAAGGCCGAGGTGGGTGAGGAGGCCCGACCCTGTTAGCAGGAGAAGTGAGGATGCTGAGGGGAGATGGCACTGTATAGGGTCGACCACGGAAAACTCCTCAGACGATGTCAACGAGATTGCCCTCGAATCGACCTAGAAGAGATCTTGCTACGATACATTGAGCCCCCTTGAATTGAACCCGCTTTCACCACCGTCGTACAACTTCTTCTTCGCGGAGCATACATCCAAGGCAGAACTGTCCGGAACATACACAGGGCCTCGAGGACTTCTTCGGGCATTTCCGTCGTCTTCAGGGGCGTCGCCTGATGATAGGCAAGGACGATTATGTAGGGGTAAAACCGTCCAAAGTCTGGGAGACATAATCGTTTATTGATAAAATGGTGCGTCTCAAACGCCAATTGCGGGGACAATCGCCGATCGTCGATCGGAGAGGATAGCCAACATATCATAAGAATTTCGCGAGTCAAGACGAACTACCGATTGAATATACTCGATCAATCAAGTCAAGATTTCGACTTCACTAGGCGATACTATAGTGTAATTCAAGGGCTTTTGAATCTAGTGTGGTATCAGCCTTACTCAGAAGCTTCAAGAGAGCTGAGAGCCCGTTAGTATTGAATAGGATAATGCCGAATGGAGGAGCAAGCGAGACAAAAACATTCCGAGTTCCGCGAAGAATTTTCAACTAAGGAAGATTCTCTGTTAGAACTCAATAACTCAACATTAATAAACAGTATTGTAGTGCAATTTGAGGACTTTTGGATTTGGTGTGGTAACAACCTTACTCACAAACCTTGCAAGAACTTGGATTCTTTTAGAACCGCACAAGATAGTGCTTAGCGTAAAAGCAGGTAATGATGTTATGTATTCTACTATCCTAGCTCTGAGCAGAGTTTTCATTGGAGAAAAGTCCTCCGACAGGACTCAACAAACCTGTACCACTAGGCAATACCATAGTGTTATTTCGGGGGTTTCGGACCCGGTGTGGTACTCGCCTTACTCCAAATACTCGAGAACTATTTTGAAAAGCACGAAGTGTTGGAGGGAACAGTGCTCCTACTCCCTTCTGAGCGTCTGAATTGTATTCCCTTTCTCTACACGTTGGTATGCTTGAATGTCTCTGGTTGAAGTAGCACCAGTGGTGTCTACTTCGTACATGCGTGAGTGTACTGCTGACACAAGTCCTGTAGCTGGGAAGCTTAGCTAGTGGTGCCAAGTAACCTGATGAATTCTGATATTGTGAGAGTGTTGATCCAGATTGGGTTCATCCCTGTAGTGGTACTTTTCTTCATTCAATCTAACCCACAGCTACCCTGGGTAAGGTTGGACGTTTAGTAGCTCAATTTTGTGGGCTGCGTTAACGACGTCTGGAGGTACTCATCCCTATTCACAATATCAGGACCCCAGGGCATGATGCCCTCAGACACGAGCTGCTTGTGCCTCGTACAGCCGCTATGGTCAAAGTTTATCGAGAGGGAGTTGAATCGAGACTTATACCGCTTTCCGAACAGGAGTCGTTGTAGTCAGGAGTTGGAATAAAGTTGGTAAGAATAGCAATACCAACTTATATCCACAGATAGAAGTATACTCAAACAACTCTCCGACGAGTAGCACTCCCAATATCATCAACTGCAGGGAACCCAAATCAACAGCAAGTAAGAGAAACCTTTGACGTTGGTAGAAGAAGTAGTAGTAGTTTACGTTATAGGAGATTACTGCCGACCTGAACAGCCACAACCGATGAGTCAATCAAGCCGGGAACAATCGTGTAGCCTACCCCCTGCATCTTAACATTTTTCACCACTCCTCCACACATCCCCTTCACAACGTTCTCCAATACCCACGCATAGTTGGGTACCACCAAATCCTCGCTAACAGCTAGATGCTGCATCCCGCCGGCCAGCTGCTTCCTGCTGGCCACACTAGCACCAGGTCTCCACTTGATACCAATGATAGACCCACGAGCACCACAAAGGAAGACTCCGGCCGAGCCAAAGTGACGAGTGCACTGTTGCTGTAGTAGAGATGCGTCAACCTTATTTCGGACCAGTGTGATAACCACATCCAGCGAGGAGAGGTTCTCCGACGGCAAAGGTTTGAGAATTCGATGCCACCGAGCGCTTAATGCATGCTTGAGCGAAGCCGACGCCAGAGAAGCCATTCGCTGACACAGTGCATTGCTCGGAGTACGAACCTGATAAGGGAGATGCCCGGTTCGAATCCTGGTAGAGGCATTTTTACGCACCAAGAGACAATGAGGGTCAAGGCGACTGCTGATCCACATCTTGGGTCTGGTCGAGATAGGAACAGCTTCATAACAAGCTTGTAGTTTCTCTAATAGACGTTGAGACTCCTCACTATCCTCCTCGTTCTCCTCACCGGGCGTCAACGACTGCAGCAAGTAACTGAGGTCAATCGATGAAAATGGGCAGCGCTGGGATTCGAACCCGCCACCTTACATGGGCCGTTCGCTGGAATGCCAATTCTCAATCAGCTTCAACCAGAGCAGAACTGCAGTGTGAGGAGATTGGGGATTTTGGCTCACCACCACATGCCTGATGGAAATCTTGCTCTTCTAGCCGAAACTTGTATTTCCTCAATTCTACATCATGCTCAACTCTGCGAAGTTATCCAAGCCAACACCTTTGAGTAGAAGTCGTTTGTCCAACCATCGCTTGGCTGCTCGAATAGCCGGCGCTAGACACTGACAAGCACTATCGTGAGACCGCAGGTTCGAATCCCACAGCCGGCACTTACTGGATATAAAGCGGTCATCGAGTGAATCCAGTTCCGATGGGTCGGCTGGTACCACAGAGTTCGCAATGGCGAGAAGTACTCCCAACCTGAGAGCATCCAATGCGAATTCCGAGTAAATATTTCCGCACTCATCCTTTGCTTGCTTGGAGTGGTGGTAGTGGCAGCTGTGGCCAGCTGGACAACCTGTCAACACAACACTCAGGAGACCCAAGTTCGATCCCTGCACCCTCCAACCTACCTCTTCCCTGTGCCACATTCTGCATCGATACGTAACTCGTCGACCTCCTACATGTACGTCCATGAATGGATTCTCCGTAGCCGATATATTGACATCAGAGAAATCCTCAGTCACCAGCAAACCCTCCCGAATCTTCAACAGCAAGGCGAGTTTAGTGTCGATGATCGCCTGGGGCTGACAAAGAAAAGTGGATAAGTCGTAACACTGCCAAATAACGAGTAAGTTGAAAATTCCCATACTCGAGCCGGTCTGACTTCCTCGCAAGATGAGATAACTATTTTCAAAATTTTGTGAACACAGTGTTCAAGATCGTTCTGCAAACCGCCATCATATCGCATAGAATTGTATTCTCGAATTTCCACAGACTTACGCTGTGAATTCATAAGATAATATAACAACATTTCCTAATTCATCGCCAGTTCATGTGAAGGTCGTAATTTTTTTAGATAGCCACTGGAAAAGCGACTCGGGCACGTTCGTGCATCGTGTCGCTGTTACCGAGCTCGCGAACACATAATTACTTTGGTCGGCCAAGCTGCATTCGACTCCAACTCGATGACAACCTCTAGCAGGCCGGATATACTCGAGCCTTCTTGATCGATAGACGTGTAGCTGAATGCTGGATCACCTGGGAAGCATTCATTGCTCTCATTCAAGCAACCCGGGTTCAAATCCCATCCCATACCCACTTGGACGCACATCCTTGATCGCCAGAGGAATATCTTCCATTCCTTGTAGAGCATCCCGGAGCAGCTCAAAGTTGCGCCAAAGACTCCTAATACACCAATCAGAATACAAACAAGTGCTCCTCCTAAGCCGAACCTATCAGCTGGTCTCAATCCCGCAATGTGGCCCAACGGTGTCACATACAGCTCCTCATAAGACACCTCATGATGCTCCAACACATGCCTCTGCAAAGGTCAACCTTCTCGATCCATACAACACATACCACACCTTACAATGATCTGCCCTTCCACTGACTCGTCATCAGCGCCATTCCAGACACAGCACTCTAGCATGGTACCATCCTTGAACCGTCTCAACTCAGACTTCGGCCCCCACAGCTCGCCTGACAATCTCAACCTAAAATCTTCGCTGTGCACAAGATACGCCTTACGCCATGCTTCCGCATCCTCTGCTTTGGGTGATGGACCCTTATCCAGTAGCCTACCGGTATTCTCACTGTTCAATATACCTACGGAATAACAGCGCTCGCCCTGATGATCGATTATGACAATTTAACCCAACGACCAACGTAACGAGTCTAACAGATAACATTCTTACCTCCAGCGGTGATAGTTCCCTTCTCTATCGACCTCCTTACTGCCAGCGACTTCATCCGGTTGTTTAGCGCGCGCCCCAGTAATCGATTTACTTCCCCCTCCAGCTGACGACTCGCCAAGAACGTTCCGTCCATTGGCAAAGTTACAGCAAAATCCCAGCGCAATCGGAGGCTTCTACCCGAGCTGGAAATACAGAAATCTTTCACGTGTTAACGAGTAAACTCTTCCTATTACTTCTCACCAAATACCTCCATGAATGGATCCGCTTCCTTCGGGTCATCCAACAGCTAAAATCATCTCAATGTGCGAACACCATACCCCCTCTCCTACCTCCAGAGACTGCTTAGCTGCAAGTCCAATCTCATCAATAGTGACCAAGCTGATACGCCACAGGATATTATAGGCTCGATCGAAGCCAGAAAACAGTTGTGCCTGACCAGAGGCTGATGCATGCTTGTTCCAACGCCCGCTGATGGCGAGCCCTACGATCCCCAATTGACGACATCTCGAGACAATTAGACCCAATATAGAGTAATCCAATCGAGCGGCATGGAGCCCAGCAATTAGCCACCTCGCGAGGTACTCACGAAATACAAGGAGAATGAATCGAGACTACAGGAGCATCGCCACGCAGGTGAAGCAATAGAGTTACTGATCCTATCTAACTAGTGGTTCCTCTGCCGATTTATTTTCTGCTATACAAGGTGCGTGAAGCCTTACCGAGTCAGACAGATCGGGTATCGAGCGCTCCTCCTTCTCCTGAGAGCCCAAAACCAAGGCGTTGGACTTCCAATCTGTGGAGGATAAGAGTACCTGATAAACACATCTCGAGGAAGGTTGGTGTGAAACTGACTAAGTTCGTGTTAACGGGTACGGCTACCCCCATATTACAAGTGCGAGCTTGAATATTTGGTAAGCACTGGTGGAATGTGGCAATCTCGAGGACGATATTACGTGATCGATAATCACAGCAAGATGGTACCTAAACGCCCAGGTGCATGTATCGAACCCACGTCCTCCCGCATCGTAACCAGCAAGCCCAACCACCAGACCATCTCACTACTACCCTGATAAACCAGCATTCTCCTCCCCATCTCTCCTATAGAGGAATCCTCTCTGATATGCCCAAATCTTCAACAGCGTCACAGCCTTCGAATAAGATGGATGAGAGCCGCTGCCCGTCTCCATCGATGAGGAACTCAAACGCATCCAAATGTCCTCTGCAACCTCCGAGTTGTAACTAAAAAAGATACGCCCTAGGAATCTTCGGCGTGCGCGGAAACCCGATGAGCATTACAGTGGCGTGGGTTGCTCGCTATCGTGACCATCCATACGGTTGCAGTTTCTTTCCAAACCAAGTCTGGCCAACCAGCTGGACTCGGGACCAGAGGTGGCTGTTGGATCAGTACCATCAGCAATACTTGGTAAAAGCCTTATCACCCATGTTGATCCGATGGGGCAAATCTGAAATGACCTCGATCGGACCTATTCTGAATCTTACGAAGAGCAACCTAAGATATCACCTCAACGATAGGCTTCGCTCGATCCCCACAGAAGTATCCTATCTTCAGCTCAACCTTCGAGCCATCCATGATCTCTGCCAATTGCCTCAACTGCTCCCCCACATATGCATTTCCTATCAACAGTAAAAGAGTCAGGGTTCGCTCACTACCATAAACCTCCTACGTTTATTGAGGTATCGACCATTGAGATAGTCCTTGCTCTGCAAACATTTCGCCGGAATTACAACCTACACATCCCAATTCCCATACCACTCCTTTCTCAAATCCTACCTCAACATCCACGACCAATCTCGGCTTGGCACATGCCCTCTTAGGGTAGCTACCAACAACCTTCACCTCTTCAGGTGGATAGTATACGAAATCATGTTGCTGCGAGTTCGGGAAGAAATAGAGGTCAGGGAACTCCTAAGGAAAGATCTTCATCGACTGCTATCGTCAAGTTTCTACATCCTGGAAGTCGCTCCCCAAATCCTTCTCCTGCGTTTTCTTAACACTGCGTATCACCTAAGAACTCAGCCACTGCACCGAAGAGTATTCCATGGTCATCAAGAAAAACATTGGGAGAATTTCATCGGGTACTTATGATATCGTATTCCAACCTTCGCAGAAGAAGCTTCTGCTCACTTTTCCCCTCCTACCCCCTCAGACTTACCTCCTGAACCATCTTGGACAGCTTGTTGAGCTTATCCCAGTTTGGGGTCGTGGATGCAAGGAGCTCCTCCAGTTGTAATCGGAGAAGATTCGACCTACACAAATTCGAATATATGTTCGCTCTCCTCAGCTGAGTTCAAGAGTTCACTCTTCAGAGACGAATGAGAATGCTCCGAAATTTACCCATAAACTCCCATGTGTCACCAACACATGTAGTTGACCATGTGCATATTTTCTCAAACTGTGCGAATTCGAGACAAATCAAAAGTGAATGGCGCGTGAGGCGTGGATGATGAAACTGAGGGCTTCCGACATTTCTCGTATCATCCCCTCGGGTACTCTTAAGAGGAGGAGAGAAGTGATAGAGCTCATCTAAAAAGCCCACTATATTATAACCTGTGCATAGTCCTATTATCATTGTTATCCACAATAGCCTGTGCTACAGCCTCCGGCCCAACGACTGGTGTAGGCATGATGATGAAGAAGAAAAGGACCTCAACTACTATATACCACTCTTATCTCAACCACACCCGAATGGGAGATCATAGCGTCTCTTGATAGAAACAGCAGTATACACCTCAGACATTGTAGACTATACAAGGCGCAAGTAAGCCTTCCTCAACCTCAACCATTTAAGTGAATTATCATAGCGTGACATCACCATCCGGGACATAACTCCAAATCGAAATAACCGTCAAACTTGCAATCCTGAAAAATCTTGCATTTCCTCAACTCTGCAAAGTTCAATTCCCGATTTTCTCTGTATCTCTATGGTGACTATGCACATTGTCATAATAGGATTAACCTTCTACTCGAATGCGGAAGGTAATTTCGAAGGGGAAGTACATCCCGAAAAGGTCGTCTCTCCGACCTTTCCTCTCTTCCACGCGAATAGTGATGCCAACTTCTTCCCGAGCGACCCACACATGAGCGATGATGAACTACCAATACAAACAACAGAGCCTTCTCCATCACGTTACGAAGTGGAAGGACCATCTCCATGGGAAGCCTTTAAAATGCGAGAGTCGCGACTGATGGAGCTCTTGGGAGAAATGAGAGCCCAGCATGAAGTTTTCAGCACAGAACATCATCATTTCACTCATGCCGATGCTGAGAGGATTTCGAGTGTCATAGATGAGATCTTTACTCTACTAGGGCATCACAGTGGAGAGGAACAAGGCGTACACTATCCAACACTGTTGTCGGAACTGTGGACATTGCACAACCAACACCCCGGCTTAGTCGATGCTGCTATCAACGGTAGTCATAGAAACTACCTCCATGCATGGGCTGAGGAAAACGATGGGAATACTGATGCTGGGGGGTATGGTCAAGATGAGGAACCTCATTCAAATGAGGACGGACCCGAGGGAGGGAGGGATTCTCCTTATCCTCAAGGAACTCCCTGGCCGTCGTCTGAACATACAAGGCTTGCTGACACGCCTGATATAGGAGAGGTGTTTGCCGAAGATCCTCCATCAGCTGTGGGTATCCACACCCACAACGACGCCGAGCACGACACTGCCCATAGTATAAGCCTCATACATCCAACAGTAAGTGGTAGTAGCGTTAAGATCTCAACATGTACCTTGTTATCATCAGACTCTACCTGCGCTACGTCGGTTAAGGGAGAATAGATAGCGATAGTCCTCACAGACTTCCGTTGTCATCATCACCATCATAACGGTGACCACCACACTTCCGACTCTCTCGCTGATTCACATTACTCTTCTCAGTGCTACTTACTACTACTACACCCATCGCAACAAGGTCGATGAATATCGATGGTCTAAGCTCTCGCTACTAGAGGCCTGTCGAGGGATGCTCGACAGCAGTTCGCATTCGTGTACGACCCGTCATGCATTGTGATGACGATGCCGTTGTCCACTGAGCTCTTTGAGTTAGTAGTCGGCGGGCTCACACTAGTCGGCACACCCACAGTTCAGGGTTATCAATAAGCTTAACATAGTCGTACAAAAATTTGCATGACTCATTCCGTTCACTCTGAATCAGATGGGGACTGTCAAGTTAGCCAAGCCTCTTATTTAGGGTCGCCGATGATCTCGCACATCTGCGAGAGTGTATATAAATAGAAATTTTATCTCCTTTCGATCCACCTCAGTTAGTAACTGAGGTGGATCAAAAGGAGATAAAATTTCTGACACTTACAGGTAACTGACAGTTACCATCCGACTATCGTCTGAGTAATCGCTGTGTGCCGAAGGAAGTCAAGACTACCATTGAGTGGTAAATTGCGAAGCGCGTGGTACTTATTCTCCCACTTACGGCAATTTCGTTCGTACTTGGGAACGAATCATGCAGCTCGATCTTTCACAAGGAGACACTAATTGTGTCACACTAAGAACTCAACAAATGCATCTCGAGAAGCAATGGTTCCGTCTCGGGTAAAATGACAGTTTCTTCAGCCAATTGTTTTTCGCCATAAAGTGATCTCTTGCTGTTTGAAGTATCGACGATCCTCCTCGTCCACTAACACCAGGTTGAGGAAGTATCTCACCGAGAATTTATTCTGAACAACTCCAATGATGACCGAGAGTCCAAAGCAACCTACTGCTCACCTGAACATTCTTATAGGTGGGAGTTAGGTCAAATCCGGATAAATAGAGACGGACTGGGATGCATTCAGCTGAAAAGAAGAAGGAAAAATACTCAAGGCTTTCCACAGCTGATCCGATACAATTTCGGATACGAATTCGCGAAGAAGTGTTCAGAAACCAATAAAAATTTCCCAAAATTTCATCAGAATTTTCATGTGACCAGCACAGACTTTCATTACCTCTCACAGGTGATCCATCCATAATCTCGAATTTAGTGACAGTCTCGTTATCAGTCGTCCCCCCGAGCTGATTCGAGCCGGCACCAGCCCCTGTAACTTCTCGACGTATTATGTCCAGTTCCATGTGCTGTAGGAAAATT